TTGGTTCACTCTAATCCAAAACCTCCTCATGGGGTACCGACATCCACGTGAGGGTAGGATGAGGGCTTCCAATCAAAGGGGTGATCTGCATTCTGACGTCTCATTCCGTTGTATTGGTTATTTGAAATAGAAGGATATTACATCATCTACACCTGCAGAACACCACCACCCTACTCTGTAACTGAATGGATATTGTGTGGAACTCAATTAGCAGGGTGCCTCCATGGTCAAACACCCCAGCAGCTTGGAACTGGACAGTGGCAAGGACCCCCATACTTCACTCAAAGAAAGGAGGGTGACAATGTGGTTGAGAGTCTGAAGGAACGTCATCACCAGAGACAATGCAATGGGTGACCAGGAAACCTTATTTTAAAAAGCAGACCATACCAAGTTATTCACTCTAGGCATGGCAGGGATGGGCAGCAATCCCCTTCTGCTCTACCCATGCAGTCCATGGGTGATATGGTCCAGGATTGGGCATGTTTATGAAGCAAAATATCACAAGTTATTCACTATCAAGTGATCTTGTGGAACACCCCATCTTCATGGTGAGCATATGAAGCCATGGATGATAAAGTGCAAGTCAACATGGCTGTACAATGTGGATTTAGAGTTAAAGAATACCTGGTCAGCCCCCACTCGCCACGGAGCAGGATCCATATGATAAAAAAGTTGATAAAGGCCTCTGAAAGTAAGAAAGTGTGAAGAAAAATTTTCCAGTTTAGAGTCACACCAAAGTCTGAAGAACAGCCACAGGTGGTAGACAAAACCCCGTACATGAGGTAACTGCAATATGATGAAGATAGTGGGAGATTAATGTACTGGGAGTGGTCCACATGCCAGATTGCAGAATCCCCTCCACTGAACGATGAAGACAAGAAGCAAGGGAAAAAGTGATGTGTCAGATCTGATGGGAGGACACCTGGAACAAAATCCGGGAGGAAGAAGATAGGGAAGAATAGGTCAAACGAACCAAAAGGAGGACCCAATTGGTAAGGGTGGAAGGTGAAAGATCACGAAGGGAGGAGGTTTGCCAGGGAATAAAAAGTTGGAATCGTGAACACCGGAAAGTAGCAGTATGGGCTATATAGCAACGCAGAGCCCTGACCAGACACAGAAGCCTATTCACATCCGGTTAAGGGTAAAGATAGGAAATAGAAGGAAGGGGAATAGAAGAAAAGGAGGAACCAGTCTTCTGAACTGCCGAAGTATTTGGAAAAAGGAACCATCTAGATAAAGGAGAAGATAGATAGGATGATAAGGCCATGTGAGATGTCAGTGCAGACAAATCAAACCTCCGACGTCCACAGGCTAAGAAAAGGAGGATATATATGTTTAAAGGAAGGAGGAAACATGGAACATGAGGAAAGTGGTTCAAACAGAGGTAAAGTGAGGGAATGTAGAAACACATAAATGCCCCAATCCGGAAGGACAGGACACCTGGGTAGGCAATGTATTTGGAAGGAATGCATGAGCATGGTAAGAACAGGGGAAGTAAAAACCCTATGGTATCGAGAAGAATAAAAGGCATGAGATAAGGCCACCTGATATCCGGAAAGCGAGGAACCCAAAGACCCATGGTCAAAGAGCCAAGTGAGAAATTCTGCCTCATTCTGACCCAAGGTAAGCTTGTCAGCAGGAAACCCCCTGGTAGTAGACCAACTGCAGAATACTTTTCACTAGCATTGGTACACCTCCATGGAAGATGGAAGGACAGAAACAGCTAACAAGGAAGTGACTCATCATGTGAAACTGGATCTTCTTGCCCAAGGACCAGACAAGTCAGGTGCAAAGATGCAGGAAGTGAGAGGTGGAATGTAGGACATGTGACTGGGGTTGACAAAGAAGGTAGGGAAAAGGTGGAAGAGGGACAGGAGGAGAGAGGAGCAGCACTGTAACCATGGAAACCATGGCTAATAAGGAGAAATCAGGAGGACCCAACAAGGAGTGGAGTGGATGAGAGAAATCCCCCAATGAAGTACTTAGATAGGTGGTTACACATAAAGATACTTGTGTGACCAATCCTGGCTGAAACCATTGATTGCCAGAGCCTGGGATGAAGTACAGGTGACCAAAAGAGAGGTAACTTGATGTTGAGGGCCCATAGCAAAGGCATCCACATGGGGAGAACCCTACCAATGGCAGAGATCCCTGAAAAGAGGGATCCGGTTGGGATGGAAAAGACAATCTGCAACCATATTGAAAGCACCCGGCACATGATATGCAGTAAGATGAATGTGATGTTCTTGGGCCCAGGAGAAGAGATCCAATGTCCAAAAACAGAGATCTCTGGACAGGGTACCCCTTGGTGCTTGATATGTGCCACCAACTTAGAACTGTCTGAATGAACCATCACCAGACGTTGTCGGCAAGAAGAAGGAAGTGATGCAACACCTGACGTATGGCTAGAAGTTTGGTAACATTGATATGCAAAGAGCTTTAGTCCACAGATCACTGGCCTGAAGCCTCCTGGTGATTGACCCATGCCCCCCATCCCTGAAGCAAGGAGTCCATGAAAAGATGTAGATCCGGACGTGGGGGAGGAAGTGGCATGCCAACCAACATATGGGCTTTGTCCAACCACCAAAGCAGATCATCTTGCAGAGAAAATGGAAGGGAAATGGGGGTGGAAAAAGGATCGTAAGTAAGGTTCCATCGATCGTGAAATAACCACTGAAGTGGTCTCATATGAGCACAACTGAGGGGGACCAGTGATATCAGTGATGACCAGAACATCAAAGGCAATACAATCTCGTGAGCAGTAACTGATGAAACCGAGAGGGCGTGGCAAACTAACAAGTCTGTAGAACAAAATCAAATAGGAGAAGTCTGGGCCCGACTGATACAAGTGTCGATAAAGACACCCAAAAGTACAAGATATTGATGACGTCTGAGGAAGGACTTCTCCAGTTTGATTAACCAGCCCCCCAGATTCAGAATGAGCCAGAAGATGCCAGTCATCCATGTACGAGAGAAACTCAACCCTAGAGAATGAAGATATTGAGCAAATGCTCGGACTACCCAACAAAAAACATAAGGGGCCAAAGCAAACTCGATTATTAGTGCACAAGATTGATAAACCACCCCAAGATGGCCAAACCAAAGATAAGGATGGGAACGAGGTGATATATGTATATGAAGAACTCATTGTTCCTCAATGAAGGAACCCCAGCAATAAGAAATCAGCAAGTTGAGCTACAATTGAACTAGAACCCACTGAGCAGTCACTGGCACTAGTGGTGACTTGAGGTGTTGTCGAAAAACAAAAATGATGAGAAGAGTCACCCTGAGGAGAAGGTAGAGGTAAGAGTTGGGAAGGTGAAGGACAGGAAACGTTAATAGGAGTCATATGGGGCTCTGATTGAAACAAATGTGCAACAATATTGGTAAGGGTAAATTGTTGTTGGACTGATGCCACTATTGTTTCTGGGATTGTGTCAAAAATATTATACTGCAGAAATAGGGCCATAGATAAATCCTGAAGCTAAGCTAATGGTAAATGGATTTGAGCCAAATTTGCATCAAGACCTAAAAGGTCCCAACAACAGAGAAGTCATGTATGCTAAGCCAGAGCCGAAGATGACAAACAAGCTGGAATGGTGGAAAGAAGGAAAAGGATATCTCCAGAAAACCCCTCAGGATTTCCAAGGAGAGTCACAAAGAGGAGGTGTAGAGAAGAATGATATCGTAAAAATTGTGAGAGTAATACACAGGTGAGAATTCTTGGCATGGGTCAGACTGACAGGTGATTCAGGAGCTGCACCTAAACAGGCAATATGGTACCTAACAACTGTTGGTCCAAAAAGGGACAGACAGCATGATGGTCAGAAAGCGAAAACTGATCTGAAGCCCATGGGGGCAAGGCATGCTAAACCTATCGCTTAACTGCAAGGTAAATTAATCAGCACAAACCCGAATATCAAGGAAGCGAGGAAAACAAAAAGGGTAGGAAGATTGGTCATGTATTAAGGAATGACTTTACTCATTGGAGAAAGGGATAAAACGTCACATATCTGAGAAACAAAAAGACTGAGTTAGGCCTAACTGATCATTCAGGTGGGGAATGGGAAGGTACCTGCCTCTTAGGGAGGAAGTGGGGCAAGGTTCAAGGACAAAGGTTGGCCTATGTAACATTCATTCTCTCTGTGGATAAATGCAGAAGATCCACAGGCCTGAGAAATAACACAAGTTGCTGGTGTGACCCCTTGAAGTGGGAATAATAACTGCAGAATTCATTGTGAATAAGAGTTCCCCAACTTTCAGTGGTGAAAAAGAATAATGCAACAGGAACTGATGAAATTTGTTAAATTGAAGAAACAGACATAATGAAAACTCAATAAATTAAAAAAACCACTTTATGAGGAAACTTAAGCAGAACGTGAATCATTAAACAAACAAAAGCACGTCCGAACACAAGTGCTGCAAAACGAGAAGTGACAGTTTGGTAGAGGGAATCATGTGAGCATGTCATGCTTCTACTGGTGAGGTGACGCATGATCATTTGCATGAGAGACATGTTGGAATCTTGTAATTCAAATAGGGGGGAGCAGAAAGCTTGTGGCATGTGTAAAGAAAAAGTATGCATATAGAGGGCAGCACTGAACAAGAATAGCTAATCTTGTGAGAAGAAGTAAGTACACTATCGGAAACTGTCTTAGTAATACAGTAGTCACACAAATTATTTGCCATGTCAAAAACCATGACCTCATAAAAAATTAATTCTGACAATCAAGCCTCCAAAGTCAAAATGTACATTAACAATACAAAAACTTTCAGATTTTAGTGATACATAATCAAGAGAAAACAGAAAACTGGAGGAACACAGTAAAAACATTAAAACTGGTGAATAAAAGAAATGAAATTATCAGAAATTAGCAACAATGTAAATATAAGTAGGACTAACAAAATCTTTGAAGCTCTTACTTGTAGCTTTGTAATTTCTGTATGTAGTTTTTGCAGTGGCTTTAAAAGCTCAATCAGGACTGATGTTTCTAAGTTGTAGGACAACTTGTACTGCATTGTAAAATCTTCTATTATTTTCTTCTCCTTACCCTGACATACCAAGCAGAAAAGCATAATTCAAGAGTCAATATTTTCAAAACAATATTTTTTAAGGTATGTCTAAGGTAACAAATTTTTATGCAACAAGTAATTATAATAACAAAATGATAAACCAACCTGACTTAAAACATTTGACTAGAAAACAAGTTAATTCAAATCATCACGACTCTGATAATCCGTCTATGGGTCAAGGGTTACACTGCCTTTTACAAGATGGTATAGACCAATGAATATGTTTTTCAAAAATGAGTCTGGCAGTAAAATATGCATTATGTGCTAAAATGCAAGAAATAGATCTATTATTTTAATAAGTAACACCAAAAAAAGCAGAATACATTTTTTGCTATGACAACTATTTACAACATCAACTGAATCCAATTTAAAACTTGTCATTTGAAGATTACTGTCTTTTTCTAAAATGTAAAGAAACATGTATTACTAAGTCATCTCAACTGAGATATGAAATTCTAGCTCTCCATGTTGATAAGCATAAGACAGATAACTTTGAAATTACCTAACTGTGACCACTGTGCTGTTCTGAATCAATTTTCCACATTGAATCTTCTCACATGGCATACTACTAACAGGAATGCTAAGAGATATGTTTGCATGGGTGCAAAACTTAAAACACTTCTTTATAGTTTAGGATTATATGTTAACAAGCTTTGACAAAAGTGATGCTGCACCCATGAACTGTAGTTTTGAAGAACTGAAATGCTGCATAGAGATACTCTCAGTATGCTAATAGACACGCTCCTCCCAATGATTAGCTAAATCTTTTGGAAGGGCACTGAATTAATTAGTAATATAAAATTATGTTTTTTAGCACAATTAAGGATAAAATCCTTAAAAACAATTTCAGCTGACTAGTTTTGATAACACAGCTACTATCATCAGGGATAGTGACTACGAAGGACAGAGATGACGGTAGCTGTGTTACCAAAACTAGTTGGCTAAAATTTTTAATACACATTTTTACTTATAATATAGTAGCACAATATGCCTGAAAATAAATTCAAATGTTGGGAAGGGTTCAAAGGAGAGCTACTAGGATGATATCTAAAATGGAAAGGCTGTCATACAATAACAGATTAAAATCTCTGAAACTGTTTTCTCTGGAAAAAAGAATAGTGAGAGATCTGATTGAGGTGTTTAAGATTGTTAAGAGAACTTATAGTGTTCACGCATTATGTTTTTCATATTTAATAGTGAGAATAGTATGAAAAGAAGACAAATATAAATTCTTGCATGGTAGGAGACACCTTCAGATAAAAACAGTTTTACTTTTCTAACACAATGGTTGACCTTTGTAATGGGTTGTCTTCCTAAATATTAAAATGATAAGGGCTGGCTCTCAGTTAATTTTTTGTCCTTTTTTCAGTTTAATTTAGTATATTATAAAAACTTACAAGTCAAAGTAAAGAATGTAATAATATGTGAACCACACTCTATTTGCTATATTCACAATCCAGAGTAGATGAGGCACTTTGCCCCATAAAAAGAGACTGTGTCATAACTACCTGCTATGGTTTCTGATATCACAGTAATCAGTAAATCAAACACAGACATGAGCCTCCAGAGCTGCATGAACAATGCAGTGATGAGAAAAGGCAACTCTTGCATCCTCATTAATTACTTCCTCATTCAAACGTAATGGTGACGTAACTACGATACATTTTCATAATTTTGAGCCATTATTTGGCGATTGACCAATATTTTATATCTTAATACTCAAGTTGAAGACTCTAGACACTAGTCAACAAGGTAAGGGTGTTTTAAAGGCAATTTTTAATGTGATGAATTGATTATTTTAGACCACATGGCAAACTGAGCATTAATTCTCAATAAGAGTTCAAGGCATTTTTCTGTTAAAAGCCAGTAAAAACTGTTTTACACATAATTTAGACCAGCTGAGTCCAAATTTGCTTGTTACCAAGCTGTATTTTAATTCCTTGACCCTCAAACTTACACATAAACATGGTCTTTACCTCACACATTATGCATTACAACAGCAATTTTTGTTAAAGGTCAGAAACAACTGTTTTTTAAAATAATATGGACTTGCTGAGTCCAAATTTACCAAGTTGTATTTTAACTCTTTGACCCTGAATAAGAAAATAATTATCAAAATGAATGTTAAAATTAAAAAATGAATAAATACACAAATACATATAAAAATTTTAATAAACTAAACGATACAAAAAGTTATGTATTTATTAATTTATCTATTTTAACATTTATTCATTTACTTCAATGCTTATTTATTTTTTGTACAAAATATCCTCTATAACTATAACAGTGGCAGTGGAAAATTAAGCAAATACTTTTTTGTTACTGAATACGTAAAAGTAGTAAGTAATGTGACTGTTTTTTGCACTTGTACTTAGTGTACAATTAACATAGAAGGATAATGTATTTTTCTACAATAGATTTAGTAACAATCGTTAGACGAGGTGGTGGTTTTCCGAGTTCAACTGAATCAGCTGAATTTTTTTACAACTTAGTTGGTCAAAATTTTTGTTAAAAAATTCAACTGCTCTATTATTTCATGAAAAACAGGGCACAAAATAATAAAAATATTCATAAAACACCACTATTGGAATCTTCAAGAACTACACCATCAGCTACAACAATTAACTAACAGGACTATCTGTTTGCCACGAGAATGCATCAGTTGCTGCCTACTTGACCTAACTGCTGTCACACAATCGAACGAGTACAGTACAGTTTTTGCCGAAAACATTATGCCTATGATGCAGATTTCATTTTAGGCACCACTTTATGGAAGGTAAGTCTAATGGCTTCAAAAACTGAAAAATTACATAAAGAACTTGACTTAGTGCAGCAATTCCCAAACTTTTGTCATCTTCACCCTTTTTTTAATAAATATGTGCACCTTCTTTTCTTTTAAATGAGTGAATTAAGTGATGATATATAATACACAAATAAACATTAAAATGTTGTACGTGTTGTAGTAATTACTTATTATTTTCATTTATAAAAAATATATTCAAATACTTAATTTTGCATTATTGCATGACTGTCTCTACCCCAATTGTTCGCACCTCTCCCCAAGGAGCCACTTGTGCCCCTCTGGGGGCATGCCTCACACTTTGAGAAATGCTGACTTAGAATGTACAAGAACTGGACTATTAATTAAAGAACTAGTCAGAACTAGAAAGTCAGTATAATAAAACTCTTTATTAGGTTAGGCAAGCCTAAGTTTGGTTCTCACGACATTGCAAGGCAAAGTGCTGAGGCTATTTCAGCCAACATGCACAAATGCTGGTACAGGCAGACATTGCAACTAGATTTGCACTGATGAAGTAGCTGTAGCATCACCAGTAACTATAGTATGTCTGCAGGAACATTCTAAACATGGGTGTCTTCACCGAAGGGGGGGGGGGGGGGTCTTATTCTCATATATATATATATTTCGTTACGTATTAGTCCCCTTCCCTACCTACCGTACTACCTACTACTTCTTACTTACTACGTAC